AGACTGGGGGAAGCTGCTACAGCCTTCTCCCCATGCCCTTCTCTTAGTTTTTTGCTCATATGCCTCAGCATGTAGTGAGCTCCACGAGTGTGAAGGTGGACTGTGTCTTTTTTTTTTTTTGGTGCCCTGCAGCTGGCACATAGGAGATGTTCTATTTATTACCAAAAGAAGAATGCAAATGAGTAGCATGTGCTGGCTTATAAAAGTACTGCTAGGCAATGGCTGAGGGTGGAGAAGACTTGTGTGGCCTTCAGGGTCGAAAAATGGTTGTGAATTCTCAGTGTAAGACAGCAGAGAGGCTAAACAGAAGATATCCGTTTTGTGGCATGTTTAGAGAAATAAGATGTTGGGGGAGCTAGGTATTCAGAGGACTGTAAGTACCAGCATGAGTTTGCCTTCATTATCTTCACTAGTAGTGAAGAGTCATCTAGATTTTTTGTAGGGCGTAGACATAAAGGTGATTTTTGGCTCTGGTGAGCAGGATAGATAGGAATAGGGGACATTGTTCCAGTTTCATCCTTTACTTTGTTTCTTCCTGGTTCTACTGGATTTTTACTGTTTCTATCAAGTGACGGTGCCCAAGGTCATTCCCGTGCCTCTGCTCAGTCTGTCCACCTCGCCTGTATTCTTTGCTGTCATTTCTAGTCTTTAATTAGAATTAAATGTGTTCTCTATGGGCGATTTCTCTTGTAACACATTTTCTATCTGAGAGTTTTATTAGTTTTTTGTTGTTGTTGTAGACTCTTCCTTTCGGAAGTACAAGAGCAAGGAACATGTCTTATGTTTCCCGTGAAGTTTTGCAGGTCACAAGTCTAAGGGCTCTTCAGAGTATAAAAGAATGAACAAATGCAGTCATGGAAATATGCTTAGAAAGTGCTTCCTGGGTGACAGGCATTGTGCTGGATTCATGAGTGTGTGTGTGGGGGAGCGAGCTTGGGGTGGACATGATCATGTGTGTCTGGGGTGCAGGAAGGTGGTTGATGTCTCTAGAACATCCACATAAATGGAGTGGCCGAAGGCTGTGTCGGGCCAAGACTATGAATGTACCACATGCTCTCTTGATAGATTCTATTTTCCATCGTATTCTTTGCAACTTGTAAAGTAAGTTAGAGGCATTTTGTTTAAAAGAAAACAACTCTTGTTGTAGAAACTTTAAAAGCCTTAATTTCCAGGCGTCCTTTCCCTGCCAGCCTTTTACATATCCATTGTCTTCTGGGCACATCATATATTTTTTTAAAGATTTATTTATTTATGCATACAGAACTGGGGTATAGGCCAGAGGTGCAGGGGCGGCGGGAGGCTTCACCAGAGACAGAGTGGGGAGCAGAACAGGCAGATGGAGGAAGTACACTGCTGAGGGGAGCAGCGGGCGGGTCAGGAGAGGTCTGCCGCGCCATATGTTCTCCTCCTGGGCAAGCGGGAATCGAACTCATGCGGAAGTGGCTTTAGCTTCTTAGTGCTGTGCTTTAACCTGCTGCGCCACCAGGGAGGGCCTGCACATCATATTTTATAATACAAAAATGTATAGTTTCGTAATGAACTTCAGAGCCTAAAAATAACCTTAAAAACTTTTTGTATTTTGAGTCACACAACAACCAATTTAGATGTTATTTTCTCCATTAAATAAAAAGAAAACTGAGAATGCAAAGGAGTTCAGGGACTTGATCAAGCTGACAAGGAAGGCTGATGGATGATGCCATGTCCTTGAACGCCAGATTCTATTCTGCTTGCTCTCGCAACTTTCAAACTGTACTCGGTTACACCTACCAATTCTGGAAATGGACTGCTCATATAAAATGACTTCGTTTAAAAGTTTATATATAGAAGCAAAACTCTCAGATGTATGGTGTATCCAGTGCTTTATCATCTATTGTTGTGCTTCCCAGGTCGCTTGTTTGTGGGTAGATCACAGAAAGAAAAAAAAAAAAAGATGCCCCCTTCATTTTCTTCATGTGTACAAATGTGTCACTGATGAGGGAACATGTAATTCCGTACTGGTATTTCTAAATATCTAGCCTCGCTCTGCTCAGTCCTGGTAGCGAACGTACGTGCGGCACCTGCTGGTGGCACCACCGCTGGCCAGGGCAAGGGCTGTGCGTGGTGTAACCCGCAGGGTACCGCCGAGATGCAGGGCCGTGGCCAGGAACGCCGCTCTTGGTCCTGTGACCATGTTGAGTGCCTTAGTAATTAAACAGACCATGCTCTCTGTCTGATCTTTGTATTGATGATAAATAACTTTAGTGATTTGTCTTCAAAATAAAAAGTTTCAACTGCTTTGCTTTCAGTTTCCTGTAGCAGTTTAATTTGAAAGTGTGCCGAGACTGCCAGGAAGTCTATTAAAAATACAAACCCTTAGCTCTGTGAATCGGGATTTTTATATTGAACAACCAAAACAGAATAATAATAAAAAACTGAATGTTGAAGTCATATCTGAAAAAGCTGTGCTTTTTTTTTTTTTTTAATGTGAATCATATCTAAGGCAATGAGAAAGACTTATTGTTCTGTCATCTAATGATACCACTTTCAGTGTGTTTTGCACAGTAAGGTTCCTAAGAGTGCTGATTTTGTTTGAAATATGGGTTTTGCTGATGATAAACCATGTTTGAGAACTGTTGTGTCTTACCGTGTTCTTGCATTGTTCTGCCTTTGGTTTTCAAACTTCCCCAAATTTGTATAGTTAGTTTAAGTGATTGGTGAATTTGGTTTGCCATTGGCATGAAAGTAGTGCATCTTGAAGTGCTGAAAATGTTAGGAAGAATAAACAATTATTTCCCTGATGGTCTTTAAGTCGTGCTGCCTCTTAGTTGTTTCCAAAGACAGTTGCATAAAAGAAAATCTGTTATACCTTTGTACTTTATAGTGAGTAGGGTTTGTCAGCTTTTAAAATCAGGAATAACACACTGGAAACTGGTCTTTTCAGTAAAAAAAAAAGTTTTATAAAGTTCTTTGTTTATTTAGGGGGAAATTGGTTAATAGAAGATTGTCAGGCAGTAATCCGTGGTGAATCAGTACTTGGGGTACAGAAATGAAGACGTGATCTTTGTGGCTTTAAGAGTCAGGTAGTGTGCTCAAGCTAGGTGGGCTGAAAATTACCTTGAAAGTTAATAAGTGCTATCTTCGAGGACACAGTGTACTGTCTTTGCAGGCAAGGGAATGGAGGGAGTCAGGAAAGGAGGTGATATTTGGAGGGTGTCTAGGAAGTGGCAGGCATTTTGCCAAAGTGATGAGGTGGCACTTACATCTGAGCAAACGATGTGAACAAAAGTCTGGGAGAGCTGGGAGCATCTGTGAATATAGTTCTCTGTGACTCAAGAGTAGAGTGTAGAGTGAAGAGGTCTGAGAAAAGAGAAGGATTTGTGTGTTTGCTGGAATAGCGATAGATGAATTTGGAGAGAGAAATTGTTCTACAATGGGAAGGACCAGCTGTGCCCTCTTGTGAAGTTTAGATTTCCTGTGTAGATGCAGTGTAGAGACTTATGTTAGGAAGATAATGCTGGAGGATGGAATGGAAATAGAACTGGTTCATTCATTTAATGGAAATTTAATGAGCAATTACTATGTGGAAGTAGTCTAGATATTTAGGAAACAACAGTAAACAGAGCAGACAATGGTCTCGTGGGTGTTGGTTCATCCCCAGCTCCCTGTATTTTGGATATATGGGGGTACCTTATCACCAAGCTTATTATAAATTTTTCCCATGGGATCTGGCTTTACTATTTGTTGTTTGGTTGGTTTTTATGTGAAAATCAGGGCAATTTTTTTTAAAGATTTATTTATTTGTGCATACAGAACTGGGGTACAGGTCAGAGGCTCAGGGGTGGCGAGAGGCTTCACCAGAGACAGAGTGGGGAGCAGAACAGGCAGATAGACGAAGTACACTGCTGAGGGGAGCAGTGGGCGGGTCAAGAGAAGTCTGCCACACCATGTGGTCACCTCCAGGGCAGGTGGGAATCGAACTCATGCGGAAGTGGCTTTAGCTTCTCAGTGTTGTGTTTTAACCCGCTGTGCCACCAGTAAGGGCCAAGGGCGATTTTTTAAAAAGAAGAAAATCTCCCTGACAAAAATGCTACCTTCCCAGAAAGAGATTGATTCCTAGAAGAGTTTAAGTGGACTTGCAAATAATGGAAGTTTCTAACTTGAAAGATCTGTGGATGATTGAAAACTACAAGAGAAAGCAGGCTGGTGATGAGTAAAAGATAGGATCAATTTATAATTTCTTAGATTTGCAATGCTGGTAAGATACCCTAATAAAAATGCCTTCTTAAGAAACAGACTTCTAGAATTTGATAGAGAAAGATGATGAAAGATCAATGTTTGAATGTAGTTGAAGCTATTGTAAATTGGAGAAATTATTATTTTTTGTGACAATTATAGTGTGGAAAACCAGTAATTCTACTGTAATTTGCTACCATTAATTTTCTCCTCCAAGCATGCACTTGATGATGAAAGACACTAATAAGCTCTTGTAAACTTTAGTTTTAGGTATCTTTTGTACTTTTAGGCATTTTCCATAAATAGGCACAACAAATACAGCTGAACAGTAAGCACCAGTCCAGGAGGAAGACATTAGTCAGAAGTTCATCTATACGGGGTGCAACTGGGTTTTTGGTTTTTAGGGGTAGATGCTGTGTATGTTGGACATCATATTTAAGTAAAGGAATTTATAAAATCTGAATATTCTTTCTACTACAAAACTAGATCTTAAACTGTCATAAGTATAAAAACCCTCGGTGATGTTTTCATAATCTACACGTTTTTGTAATTTAAATGCACTACAGTGTATAACTACAGATCCTCTATTTTAAGAGTAGGTAAAATTGTCCTCTCTCTTGTGAGTTATTCTAAATAATTCTAGGGTGCTCTGCTCTCAAAGTGGATTTTAGGATAGTATGATGTTTGGATACTCCTTTTCAAAAATGCTGTCAATAGTAAATATCAACCTAAATGACTTATTTTTGACCTGTTTTTTCCTTTCTTTTTAATTTTTTTTCTAAAACTAGACCAGTCTTCAGAGACCTGAAATTAAACTTGAATCACTAAAAGAAGACATTAAGGAATTCTTTAAAATATCAGGTTTGTAAGTTGCTTTTTCCCTAATTCTTTAAAGCAAAGTAAAGAAATACTTTATTTGAAGGACACATTTTATGCCTGGTTTTCTAATTACTCATTCAGAATTGTGCAGTAATGACTAAATAGGTTTCTATTTTGGGACAATAAGAATGATCAGATATTTCAATAAAATGCTATAAAAATGCAGAAATACTGTGGGAATAACTTGCTGCTCATTAATCAGTTTCAGGCAGTTTATCTTCATGGCCGTAATACATCCTGAATATATTAAGGATCTTAAGTAATTTGTCTTTTACTTTTCATTATGGCTTTTTCCTTCTACGCTCCTTTTCCTTCCTCCATTCTGTCTTTTTAAAGAAAGCAAAAGAATTTTTTTTTTCTTTTTTAGCTAGAGAGGTTTTCTATTGACCTTGAGACATAGGAACTGCTGTTAAGTGGTTACTTACCCCGGTAAATTCAGGCAGTCAGCAACATGTTAGCTGCTCCGAATGGTGGTACCTATAACTTGCCTCTCAGCTTCAGGCATTTACTGCACTGTTAGTGGCTGCGACCACACTTTCTCAAGAAACTGCATCTGGCCCTTTCTCGGCCCATGCCTTGCAGTAGCCCACAGCCAAAGATTTTGGCATTCGTGGGGCAACCAAACAGTGGAAGAAAGAAGAGTCCTACCATCTTGAGAAAATGATACAATAGTTTTGCATAAGAAATAAAGACTTTGCTACTCATGGTTAGCCAAATATAGAGGAAATAGTTCTTTAATAACACTTTTACATAGCCACTGGCGGTTGATAAGGTTATTTCAAGTGAGTATGATGCTGCAATGTTAGTGAGGAAAATTTAATTATAATGTGTGCCCATTTTTATGACTCATATTCATATATTTTATTCTTTTCTAAAAACAGGTTGGGAGAAGAAACTCCAGAATGCTGTTTATAGTGAGCTGAGTGTGTGAGTTTTTCCAGCCTATTTTGAGATACTGTTATATTTAGCTATATTTACTCTGTGAATTATTGAATCTAATATAGCCATATGTACTCACTGTATTGTTATTTCTCATTAGTATTTACATATAGCATCAAGTAAGATAATGCTTTAAAAAATTAGTGTTGCCAGAGGATTAATAATAAATAGGTAGTGGTTTAACCCCCAAATTTTTTAATTCACAGTTCACTTAGCTAGTGCGATTAGGGTGAGATATTTCTCATAAGGGAATATTTAAGTAACTGCTGCACACCGGCACTTCTTCCTATTTTTACCTTTTTTGGACTTTACCCCTTTTCTTTTGTTCTTTATTGAGGTAACACTGATATGCAGCACTGTATATGCTCCAGAGGGCACACCCGCCATCATGGCACCCATAGTCCTCACATAGCATGGAGCTCACTCCTTCCTTTGAGCTCCACCTTCCCCCTGCATCTAACTCAATTTTCCACTCAGATTTCTAGGTTTGTTTTGGTTTGATTTTGTCTGGCCCTTTGATTTTTGTGTATATTTCAATAGGAGTAGAATCATCTGGTATTTGTCTTCCTCCTTCTGATTTATTTCTCTGAGCACAATCCCCACCACCTCTATCCATGTTGTCACAAATACCAAGAGTTCCTTTTTTATGATTGAGTAGTATTCCATTGGGTATCTATACCACACATTCTTAATCTATTCATCTGTCATTGGGCACTTAGACTAATTCCATAACTTGGCTATTGTACATAGTGATACAGTGAACATAGGAGTACATATTTCCCTTTGAATTAGTGCTTTTGTATTCCTTGGGTAGAATGCTGGGAGTTGAATTGCTGAATCATATGATACATCCATTTTTATATTTTGAGAAACCTCCACACTGCTTCCATAGGGGCTGGGGACCAGTCTATATTCCCACCAGTTGTCCAAAAGGGCTCCTTTGCTCCAAACCCATCTCAGCACTTATTTCTGACCATTCTCACTGGTGTGAGGTGGTATCTAATTGTGGTTTTGATTTGCATTTCCCTGAGGAAGAACATGTTTGGCATCTGTGTGTCTTTAGAAAAGTGTTTATTTAGTTCTGTTCAATTTTTGTTTGAGTTTTTTTTTTTTTGAGGGGAGGGAGGAGATTGTTGAATTGTGTGTATTTTTTGTTGTTGAATTGTATGAGTTCTTTGTTGATCTTGGATATGAGTCTCTCTCAGATGCAAGTATTTTCTCCCATTCAGTAGGATGTCTTTTCATTTTAATGATAGTTTCTTTCACTATAGTTCCATTTGTTTATTTTTGCTTTCATTTTTCTTGTTTTTGATGTGAAGTCCCCAACGACATCAATGAAGCCATGGTGCAGAGGACGGGTATGGTAAAGAATGATGTAAGATACATAGATAGGGATATACTTTCTACTCACAACTTTGTAGACTGGATCCTAAAAACATTTGAATTTCAGTTTAGAAGCTTAAGCACGTTAGTAACATGATCACATTCGCATTGTAGTTACTCAGTAATGTGCTGATCATCTAACATGTGCCGGGCATTATGCTACACATGGGAAGTGCAATCACTGGTAGACAAGCACATTGTGCTTGGCTGACAGTCAGGCAAATTGTAAACAGGTTGAAATTAATGTGAGAAAAGAGACTGTTTAAGAATATCTAGCAAAAAATATTAGTTATCTAAAAACAGTGTTTGTAGAATAGAAAAAGTGAGAAGTGTTTAGGGGAATAGGTTGAAAAAAAAAGCAGGAGTGATAGAGTCACAGGTTTCTGAGCTTTTTCCTCTCTGACAACCGTTATCTCTTCCTGTTGTGAACTATGATTTCCATAAGGACAGAGCTTTTATCTTGCTTTGTTCACTAATGGATCCCATTGCCTAAAGTTCTTAGTGAATTCTCATTAAATATTTCTGGATAAATAAGATTTTGGCTTAATATGTGATTTTTTGGGTTGCCACTTCTTGTTTCTTTTTATTAAAATATAAGTTTGTTTAATTCTTTTTTTTTTTTAACATTTTTTTTTTTTTAAGATTTATTTATTTGTACAGAACTGGGGTACAGGCCAGAGATGCGGAGGGTGAGAGAATTCACCAGAGACAGAGCGGGGAGCAGAACAGGCAGATCGACGAAGTACACTGCTGAGGGGAGCAGCGGGCGGGTCAGGAGAGGTCTGCCACGCCATGTGGTCACCTCCGGGGCAGGCGGTAATCGAACTCATGAGGAAATGGCTTTAGCTTCTCAGTGCAGTGCTTTAACCCGCTGCGCCACCAGGGAGGGCCTAAGTTTGTTTAATTCTTAAGATTATCAGTAAGCACGCTGAAATTTTAGTCCTCAATTTCTAACTTTTAGAAATTTAGTAATAAATACCATTAAAATGGTGGGATTTTAGAGCAATATTTAATTCTAAACTGTGTCTCTTATTGAGATATTTTGAGCAATATGAAATATGTAGTTTTTAATCTGTCTTCCATATAAGACTAAGTACTGAGTGTGTTAGGATTATCTTTTTTTTTTTTTCATTTCTGAGTGAAGAAACAGTGATTTACTTAGGTATATGAAATATACGATTAGCAGAAAGTATTAGTTAGTGGAACTGTCTTAATAGATGAGATGACATAGGTTGCTGTTTTCTGTTCCAGAAAATTTTGTCGAGGACATTTCAGCCTTTTACACTTAGGTTTTAGGGTAAAATGCATCTAATTTGGTCTAACAGCAACCCTTTTTACATGTTGAGATCTTACTTTGGGTGCAGAATTTCTTGAGAATGCAGTCAATGGTTCTTGATTATTAAAATGTGATTGCTGTATGTACTGGCCCCATGACTGGTCTTCACTGGAATTATATGTTGTTGTGAGAGACATGGAACCTGTATTTAAGTAAAAGCCAGCTCCTCGTGTTTTTCAGCTGCCTACTGTCTTTGAGTTCAGATCACTGTGTGCCTCAGTCATCACAGTCCAACCATTCTGGGTTTTTTCATTCTGATTTTTAGACAGTCCAGATATTCCCACCTCTGGATCCTATGCTTGTCCTTCTACCTGTATATTTCCTCGCCCCCAGGTCACTGCATGGTTGATTCCACCATGTCTTCACTTTTGGCTTGGTTCAGATATCAGTTTTCCTAGATACTTACTTGCTCTCCTTTTCTTATGGCACTTATTACTAACTGAGATTATTCTACTTGTTTGTTTTTGTAACTATTGACTATATTCATTAGACTTTTAGGTACATTAGAACAGGGGATATTTTCTTGTTTACCAACACAGCATTTGTTGAGCAAATCTCTTAACGAAAACAATACATTTTAATATAAAATATAATGTTGCTTAGAAAACAAAGAATTTATGAGCTATTAAGTTTTTAATTTATTTAAATTTGTGCACTTGTGTTATAAATATTTAAATATAGATATTATGAAATATAGCATGGATGTTATTTCAACTGTGTAAAATATGTAATTATGGAAAAGTAAGTTGGAAGAAAAGAATTGTTATATTAGTAAGTTAATAAATTTTTTCTACCTTGAAAATTCCTTTAAATGTTATATTTACATATTAAGATGTATAGTTTTGACACAGGTATTTTCATATGAGCATTTATAGAACTAAATAATTTTAGAGTCACCTCAATTTATGAATTCAGGTTATTATATAATTTAACTTTTAGCAACTAATTAAATTGCTAATCTAAAAATACAATGCTAATAGGATAAGAAGAAAAGTCTTACTAGGCTGTTGGACCTCATGTAAGCACAGAGAACTGCCAACAAATATTCTTTTTCATTTCTCATATGCCTGCGGGGCTAAGTCATTTCTGACCAAAGAGAATCAATTACCAAAAGTAATGCACGGTATTCTGCTGCTTCCTTTGCCAGGTTTCCTTTGCCTGGTCACCCTGCTGCGCCTCCGGAACATCTCAAGGAGCCTCTGGTCTACATGAGAAAAGCGCAGGTCGGCTGTCATTCATTTCAATTTTGTTTTCTCATGGCAAATCATATAACTCAGAGCCGAACATTCCTGCACGTATCAGGAATATGTCCTGCCCTGAAGCATGGACAAGAGTCTGTCCAGTTGCTGTGAGCAGAGATGTGAATGTGTCATATCCTAGCAGCGGCCACCAAGGCACTGACTGCTGTGAGCAGTGTTTGCACATTTCCCCTGTACAGTCAGCGGCCGTGAGTCACTTCCTTTAACTCTGCTAATCCCCAGAACATCGAGTAGAAGAAAAAATACATGTACCATTATTGGTGCGAAATTTAACACGTGGTGAAAATATTATGCAGCGTTTCACTCCTCACGCTTGGTGATGTTAAAGGGGCAGAAAGGGAATGCACTGACTCATGCTTCTCTTAAAACTTTTGGCTTTTGTGACCAGTTACTGACATATTTGGAACATATTTGTCCTTACAGGAGGCTACTACATTGTACTGTGGTACAGGTCTCAAATGAACCTGCTGTCTAAAATGGGGTGAAAAATTAAAAAGCACTTTAAAAGAATAAAATAATTCACCCAGAAAAGCTGTTAAATGGAGCCTGAGTTCTGTCGCACGCACCTACCTCTCTTACAGCCCCCTGGCCCCGTGTGGCCGTGTTTCCGAGCCTCCCCCAGTGCTGCCAACGCCCTGGGATGGCCACTGCTGCGGCGAACATCACAGTCCGCCTTCCTCGCCATCATCTTTTCAGGAATTATGATGAAAAATTCAGATATACCCCAAGGAACCCCAGAGATCCATCACCCAGCCTCAAGTGTTCATAGTGTTTCTGCACCTCTGCGTAGCGTTCAGTTACCACATTCCATGCAGGGGATGTTAGGCAGATTTTTCACTTTTCATTTTAAAGAACCTAAGTACAAACATTGGTCAAAATGGTACCTGCACTTCCTCAAGTTTAATCAAGCGTTATTTATAATAACCAAGAACTGGAAACAACCTAATGCCCACAAACTGACAATGGATAAAGGTGGTGTGGTGTATATATACAGTGGAATATTATTCAAGTATAAAAAAAAGATGGACCCTTGCCATTGGTGAACTACGTTTTGATGATACACTCCTAAACCCTATATGATATGATGTATCACTACTTCAACTAAAAACAAAAACGTCTTCAAATCAAAAGCACATCATTTTGTGGAACTATAATGAAATAGGAAATTGCATATAATATAATCTTAAATGGAAAAAGGAAAATATGAAAAAATATAATTCCACACTATCTGTAACTACACATATACGTATGTATAGACACGCACACACATAAATATCTCAGTTTGTCACTATGCATACAAAAAAGGACAACAAAGTATTAACAATGGTGGATGGATGGAGCGTTATAGATGCTTAGTTATGATTTTGCTCTTTACTATATTTTTCTTTTTTCAAAATTATCTTGTAAATGTTACTTTTATTATCAGAGAATAACTAATATCTTTTTCCATTAGTTAGCTGGGTTATGTTTATTGTGTCTTTATTTTTTGTCAGGGTAATGAAAGTAATATTTTTAATTTGTACTTTTATAGGGTATCTTTACATGCTATATCTTTATTAAATGACATTCACAACTTATTTTGTTGTTATAAAACAGTAGTGAAGTAGTAGATAAAAATTCCAATGTGGTTGTGATTCCTTTGTCTTTCTTGACTCAGAAATTGCCTGATTTATAAGCTCTTGAAATCCTTTCAGTTATATCATAGATTCCAATTACTAGGAAAACTGATTTGAAGGCAACAATAATTTCATTTGGAGAGGATATGGGTTTGAGTAAAAGGTATTATCTTCCAATTTAAGCATTGTAAATGTAAAAGGCCATTCATTTCCCTCTTAAATAACATTTTAAATGCTTTTTATTTGTCTTGTAAGTCTTTTAGGTAGAAACCATTACTTTAATTTTCTATTAATGCACTATCCTTTTCAATAACCTATTTGCCACTTTTATTTCTTTTTAGAGGATGTTAAGTATACATTGAAACTTTAATTTAATAACAAAAATAATAGCTTATTAAAGTAACTATATGAATAATCGATTTATAATTGACTGTTGAAATTAACTTATTTCAAGTTTACAAGAAAGACAAGAAATAGAGAAGAAGGTAGTCAAAATGGTGAAAAAACAGTAAGATAAATCTAGATTATGACACATTCTGAACGGTAACTGACTGGATTCCTCATGAAAGTATCATGAAAAACAAAAGAACAAAGAGACCCTAGATTAAGCTAGAGTCCTAGCTTGAAAGAGACCTAGGCCCTCCCTGGTGGTGCAGTGGGTTAGGACACAGCACTGCAAGCCAGATGCAGCACTGCAAGCCAGCCGCAGCCACTTCAGTGCAAATTCGATCCCCAGTCCTGGAGGTGACCCACATGGCACCGCAGACCTCTCCTGTCTCTCCTGCTGCTCCCCTCAGCAGTGTATACTTCATTGATCTGCCTGTCCTGCTCCCTACTCTGTCTCCGGTGAATCCTCTCACCTCCCTGCACCTCTGGCCTGTACCCCAGTTCTATGTGCATAAATAAATAAATCTTAAAAAAAGAGAAAAAGAAAAATGAAAGAGACCTGACAATCAAATGTAACATAATGATTGATTTTTTAGTGGCTCCTCTATTTAAAAATATTCTAAAAGCCATTTCATGGATAACTGGAAAACATTAGTGTTAATATTCTATGTGTTATATTGGTCTTGTGGTTATATAGAAGAAAGTTATTCTTAAAACTTTCCAGTTGATGTGTTTAGGGGTGAAATTTCGTGTTTGGATAAACTATCATAATTTCTATAAAGTTTTATTTTACTTACTACTGTTCATAGTTTTCACTAATTGAATTTATAAAATGCTAAATTTAACTTACCATTTTGTCATCTACTATTTTTCCTTATAATATTCACCACAATATGACTTGTTTTATTATTTAATCTGTCTTCATTCCCCTTCTCTGCCAGAGTATGAGTTCAGTGAGGACTGAGACTTCCTGTTATTCATGCACTAATGATATGTCTGGCATACAGAAGGTGGTCATAAGTATTTGTTGCATGAACTACTGACTGAAAATAATCTCAACCTCATCATTTCAATATAGTTCATAATATCTTTAATTTTAAAAATCAGTTTTAGTATTATTAACCAGAAACAATAATAGCCTGTTCCTTATGTTTCAGGGAAGTTGGGAAAAAAGAATTTTGAAGAGTTTAAATAGTATGTGCACTGAATTGAGTATCCCACTGGCACGAAAGGTACTTTTAAAACATAAGTGTTTTTCCTACGAATCAAATACCAGTATGAGTCATGAAATTATAACTCTTAAGCATCTTTATCTTTTTTTTTTTTTTTACTAGTATATCAGTTTGTTTGGGAACAAAAAGCTATAAAATGCTGATTATGTGGGTGTATTTGATAATAGATTTCTGTCACATGTACTGTTATATATGCATCTTTCAGAATAAATAAAAGTATAGAAGCTACAATATAGATTCTTTGGAGATTTAGCTATAAAGGTTATAATTAAACAAGGTAAAATTAATGATTTTTATTACTTTTAGTCGCCTCTTGACTAATTAGCATAATGACAGGCTTCTTGAATTAGAGATGGAGTTCAGGACAACTGTCATCTTGTGATAGTCAGCATGGTACCATCTTTCAGTATTCATGTAGGAAATACAAAGGATCATTTATCAGCTCTTTGCAGCACTGTTTAAATCTAATTACATTAGATTTATTTAGATCTAATCTGTTGCTCTGGGCTTTTAGTTGGGAGAAATAAAAATAGGAAGAAAAGACACTTGAGGAATGTTTTGAATTCTTTATAGCTTCTTACAAGTAGGAGAGAATACATAATCTTTACTTCATTCTCCCTACCTGTTTATTCCCTGCTGTTATACAGGATAAATAGATGTACTTTGGATACTATCCAAGGGCAAAACACTGAAGTCACCAGAAAGCTGGTGTAAAAAGGAATACATTGATATGAAAGACTGTCTAAATATGTAGTATTGTGTAATATACTGTCTTTCACATAGGAAGAGATGCTACTGACTCAGTCCCACTCTCTTGGCCAGCCCCCCTTGCGATGCATTTCTGAGATTGCTGGGTGGGGTAAGAGAAGTGGTATGTGGCTGAGGAGCAGTATTTCTTTGTGAAATTTACTGGCTAGTGCAGATCACTTACCTTCTTTTCTTGGACTCATTAGCACCATATTCGAACCAAGCCATTGACACTCAATATAATAGTTATATAATAGTGATTTAAGTATAAGTCCAAAAAAAATTTACCATCTATAATGAAATTATTTTTCCTCATGTTTTGTAGCTTATTTAAACTTTCAGATAAATTGTTGGTTGTTAGTTTTCAGGTACATTGCTAAACATCATAAAATTAAACCAATTTTACAATTACCTTTTGTAGAGGCCAGTTGGAGAACAGAAAGAGCTTCTCAATAAATGGAATGAAATGGGAACTGATGAACCAGGTATATGAAGAACTTTTCTCAAAAATCTGTTAATTTTATAAACATGAATGACAATTATATATCATTTACTATAAAAACTAGGTGTAGGTAATTACATAGACAAACATATGCAAAGTCCTCCTTAGCAAAATGTTTGGGGAAGTGGGCAAAAAATGTGTGTCATACTGGAAGATGAAGCATGTTATTAGAGGTTCAAAAGGGTGTTCAATACAACTGGAAATAATCACTAAGCATTTGCATCGTATTCCATACTTTGAGAATTCTCATATAGAAGTTTTATATTTTATTGACTTTGTTTTTTCACATCAGCTATAAGTAATCTATTACAAATTTATGAAAAGGAAATTCTTAATTTCTTCTAAAATGTGTCATCTAGGTTGACAAGGAGAGAGGCTCTTTTTTGTGTTCCCAATGGATAATAAAATATTTGACAAGTATGTGATACCTAGAAATGTTTGAATTAATCTAATTGCACAGCAATGTATGAATCATTAACATTTATTTTTAACAAACCTTCATATATCTTAACTAGAGTTTTACTTTAATCTTTCTTATTATTTTTAGATTTAAGCCTCTTCAGACCTGTTTATGCACCGAAGGATTTTCTCGAGGTAGGTTCTATTGGATAAATGTGTATATTAATGAGGGTACCTCCAGGCAGAGGAATAGTCATATAAAATGCAAACCATTTAAACAGTAGAATGACATGATCAGATTTATGTTTGAAAGTTGTTCCTGGAAAATTCATTGGAATATGGAAAAGTTAGAGGCAAGTAAATTAACTAGGAAGATTTGGTTAAAAACTAATGACTATTCGTGGGGATTACAATTGAGATGGAAAAAAAATGTACAAAATGATGTAAAAATAAACTGTTGTAAAATAAAAAAATCTTTCTTCCTCTTAAAAAAAATATATATTTCATTTATTTTTTCCTTGAAATTTCTTTTATCTCTTTATTTACATGATTGAAGAATGTATCATTGGTTTACAGAGTTCACAGTACTTTGTACATATATGCAGTTAACCCCACCCAGCTGCAGTCACAATAACATACCTACCACCCAAAGCACCCAGTGTCCCAATAGTACATAACCATAGGTCACTGCACTCCTGAAAGGTAATTTTTATAGTACAAAAACATGGGATTGGAATCAGAGTGATACATTCCAATCCTAGTTCTGCCACAGAAAACATATATGACATTAAGCAAGTTATTTTTCTCTTGAGCATAAGTTCCCCTCAACCTATAACCGTTAACTTGTGGAAGATTATATGAGAGAATATATGTATAGCAATTAACACATAGTAAACCATAATTCCATTCTTAGTGTTGTGACTTAAGCTATAATCATGCAGTAGGTTGTAATCAGTTTATCTGCCAGAAGAATTAGTGGCAGCCTGAGGGATTGGAAAATTTTAGAAATGACTGATGTTTGAGATGTAAAAGCCTTGTAGGACTTTTAAAGGAGGTTTCTAGGCAAAGAGGGACCAAGAATGGAAGGAAAGAAAAAGGGAGAGAGGAAGAAAAAAAAAACAAAAAACTAATGACTACTGTCTGCAAATAGTGGCACAGATTCAACACACAAAAATCAGTAGCCTATATACGATTAATCTGAAGAAGAAAAAATCAAGAAAATGATACCTTTTATAATTGAAACAAAAATATACCAAATACTTGGGAATAAACCTAACAAAAAAGGTGAAGGGACTGAAGAAAGAAAATTATAAACTATTATTAAAACAAATAGAAGAAAACACAAAGAAATGGAAAGACATCCCCTGTTCATTGACTAGGAGAATGAGCAATTTACTGATTTAATGCCATTCCAATAAAAATCTCAATGACATTCTTCAAAGAAATACAACAAATACTGATGAAATTCATATGGAGCCACAAAATCTTCAGAGAGCCAAAGCTCTTTGACTGAAACAAAGGAGAATGAAGACATCACATACCTAGACTTCAAACTATGCTATAAAGACATAATAATTAAAAACAGTATGGCACAAAAACCCAGACACACAGACCATTGGAACCAAATAGAAAGCACAGAAATAAAGCCAAACATATATGGACAACTAATCTTTGACAAAGGAGCAAAAAATAAGCAATGGAACAAGTACGGTTTGTTCAATAAATGGTACTGGGAAAATTGGACCACAATAAGCAAAAGATTGAAATGAAACCACTACCTCACACCATGCACAAAAATCAACTCAAAAGGGATAAAATATATAGAAGAGAATATAGGTAAAACTACATGACATACATCTCAGTATCATTAAAGATTCATCTCCCAAAGCAAAGAAAATGAATGAAAAGATAAATAGCTAGGACTACATCAAACTGAAAAGTTTCTGTACAGCAAAAGAGACATTAACCAAAACAAAGAGATACCCTACTAATTGGGAGAAAACTATTTGCACTCCATACAACTGATAAGGGATTGATCCCAAAGACTCACATGACTCAACCAGAAAAAAATAAACAATCCTGTCAAAAACTGGGCAGCAAAGCTTAAAAGATACTTCTCCAAGAGGAAGAGCACATAACCAACAAGCATATGAAAAAATGTTCAACATCCCTCATAATCAGGGAAATGCAACTCAAAACCACAATGAGATACCACCTTATACCTGTGAGAATGGCACATATCTAAAAAAACTAGCAACAACAAATATTAGTGAGGATGTGGTGAACAAAGGAACTCTCCTACACTACTGGCAGGGATGCAAACTGGTCCAGCTACTATAGTAAGCTGTGTGGTGCTTCCTCAGATTACTAAAAATGGAGCTGCCATATGACCAGCAATTCCCACTTATAAAGGGATCTACCAAGGGATACAAAAACAATTCAAAAGGATACCTGCACCCCTAAGTTTACTGCAGCACTATTTATAATAGGTAAGACTTTGCAGCAATCCAAATACCCAAAAATAGATGACTAGTTCAAAAAGATGTGGTATATAAACACAGTGGAATATTATTCAGCAATCAAAAATGATAGACTAAGCCATTTGCAACAACATGGATGGAGCTAGACGGGATCATGCTCAGTGAAATAAGTCAGAAGAAGAAAGAAAAATATCGGATGATTTCATTTATAGTAGTAGTATAAGGGGAACCAAGTAAGAGTTCAAGAAAATAATAATAACAATAAAAAACAACAAAACAAAAATAAACAGGGAACTATAAATCAGAGACATTTTTCAGGGGAGGGGGAGGAAGAGGGATTGAAATGAGGGCAGAAAGAGCATGAAGGATGATGGTGATGGACTATAGTGATGGGTAAATTGGATTTGGAAATTCTCTGGGGATTATACCTGTAAAAAGAAAGCAAACATTGTACAAAAATGAACAATGATGTAAAATACATATAAATAAACAAATTGTTAAAAAAACAAAACAAAACAGTGACTATAAATCATGTAGCCTGCTACTTAGTACTTGTGGATGCTCAGCGAATTGTTTTTTTTTCTTCCCTATTTTAGTAGTCTATCAAGACATGATAAATGTCTGAGCTAAGAGAACAGCTTTGGAAATGGAAAGAATTCAACAAATTTAAAATAGATTGTAAAGGAGGCTTTGGGATCTGACTAGATATGGGACCATGAGAAAAAGAAAAGTATGATCTTTAAGTGTCTAAATGGAGTAATTGGGTAAAAATAACTTGCCCTGTGGTAGAGAATACTGGAGAAGGAACAGGTTCATTAGTGAAGATGATGAGCTTAATTAAGTTTGAGAGGCATATCAAGCATTCAAGTAGATCTCTTCAGTAGGGAGTTGAACCATTAATTATTTTAATTCACCTCTCTTTGATTCCACTCTTACACCTCACATATAATCCATCAGCAAGTCCATCAGCTTGTCTTCAAATTTTATCCAGATCTATACACTTCTTATCACACCACTGCTACCTCCTGTCCAAGTTACCATCTCTTGTCTGTACTATTTCAGTGGCCTCCTAACTGGCTCCCTGCCTTACCCTTGTGGAGAATCTGTCCTTAGCAGTTCCAGAGAAAGCCCAATCAATACAATTCAGAATAGTGACTCTTCTAGTATCCATTGATTTTTCATGTCATTCTACTTAAAAATTAAAGCCACAACCATGACTTTACACATCCTACTTAGTCTATTACCTCTGTGAATTCATCCCCTATTTTCTTCCTTCCTTGTTTTGCTCTAATCCACTTTACTCTCATTGCTTTTCCCTGAATTTCTGACCTCTGAGGGTCTTTGCTTTTTGTTTTCTCTTTCTGCAATGCTTCCCACCCCCACCCACCTCCAAACTCTCACTCTTCTCCAACCCTCACCCCCAACCAGATACCTGCCTCCATGTTTCCTCACTCTGTATATCTTTTCTTAAATGTCTCTTCAGCAAAGCCTTCCCTGACTTCCTTGCTTTGACCCTACATGCTTACAACTCCTTATAGCTTTCCTACTGTTTGACATGTAACATACTTTTATCATGTAACATACTTTCTTCTAATTTGCTCTATGCCCATCTTCTCCTAGTAGACAGAAGTTATACAAACACAGAAGAGTCTCAGTTTTGTTCAGTTATACCATTACACAGTCAGATAATGAAAAAACTCACAAGACTTCATAGGTACACCTTTTTGCTTTTGGCAAGAAAAAGGAAACACATGTAAACAAAGAGATCCAAACTTCAGACACATCTCCTGGGGGCCTCTCAGTTCCACAGGATGTGTTCTGTCTTTGAATTGTGAACCAAGCTACAAGTGAAAAACTTTGGTCTCGGGAGTTAAGACACAAGTTTTCCAAGGGATCTTTTATACCCCCGCCAGGTAAATCAAGTGCAAACCAGCAACCTGAACATTTTCAATGGATTGTGTAAATAAGTTGATATAGTGTACCTGCAGGGAACATTTAATAAGTCATGATCAATGAATAGTTAGTACATTCTATCTCATCATGGCCAAGGATCACTACCAGACTTCCAGGTATCTCTGGAGCTACAAGCCAGCTGCAAGTCTCTAATTCGCACAGTTCTTAACATGTTGTTGTTCAATAAAGAATTATTGAATGAGTGAGTATGCAAGTGAATCTTTCCTATTTTATTTCTTTTCTGAACCTGTTGGTTCATACCATATTGCCATTATAGAACATACTTAGAAATAATTTCAGGCCTCACAGAGTTTGAACCTGAATAAGAAGTTTCTGCCTTTGTGTTGATTGGCATTATTTCTCTTAGTTTATTAAAGGTTTCTCCCAAATTTTCCTTTTCTAGCTCTTGACAGCTAAAATGTCATATAAGTTTGTGTGGTTATCTTTAAGTAAGTATTCTTCTTAATAGTCATAATATTCAGTTTCCTTCAGGACTATTGCTGAATTAATCTTCTTATTATTCATACTGAGATTATTAATTCAGCAACATATTCTATAATTATTTCCTTATAATTTTGCATTTCTATATTTTCTCTTGTCATCATCCATGTATTCATAATTTCTTCTTTTATGTTCTGTGTTGTGAGTTTCCCATGTAATATGATGTTTTATTTGATAATCAGGTTAAATTGTGCTTTTCTATATTGATCTGTATTTAACCCTGTTGAGTCTCTGCTTAATATTTAATTCTAAAAGCAAATACCACTAATATATTTGGTTTCAGTTTAGTGTTTGCAACTTTAGGCTTTATAAATCTGTGGTATTATAGCATGTTCCACTTTATTAACCATTAGTTATTTTTATTAAGACTTTCTTCAGATAGGATTTTGTTTTGGTCATCATAATGTCCTTCACTGGACTGTTGATTATTTCTTTCCATATTTTTATATTGTCATTGTTTCCCTAAATTGCATGTTCATTGTTAGAAAAAAAAAAAACATGAGGAAAAAAGCAAAACTTATCACACAACAACAAACAGCCATTATTATAACTTGAACTTGATATAAACACTTTATATTTTTACCTACAATTTCCATATTACAGTATACAGACTGTGCTGTATTTTCTAATGTGAATTAACCATAATTTGTCATTCCCACTGTGGCTTATGCATTTTCATATTTTTCTATTACAAACAATACTTCATTAATATTCTTGCACTTTCTTTGTAAGCACTTTATTATGTCATACGTATAGAATTGGCATCTCTAGAATAAGAAATCTGCAAATATCTAAGGCATTTTTACATGCTAGATTTTGAAAAGTGTATAAATGATTGTTTTTATTAGGTAGATTTCTGAAATTTCTTTCTTTCTGCCCCCATGTGTTTAGAACTTATGCCCTGCAGTGTTGCTTTTTCTAAAACAATCTTTCTGAAATCTTTGTCAATATCTGTTTTTAAAAGGATTACAGTTGACTTTAAAATTTTCCCTATAAAATTTTCCCTAATAAAATTACAGTCAAGTGATTTTTATTTTTCTATCACCTTCCCTGGTGACATACCTGTAATCAAGAAATTTTTATTTTTGATTACCATCAAAAAGATTTCTTTCTAACTAATTTAAAAAGTGGATCATTAGTTAGCATATTAAGCCATCCTAGCTAAAAGAATGTTTATGGTATTTTTTTATAATTTATAATTTTATAATATTTTACAGTATACTTAAACAATATGTGTAATCCAAAGTAGTTTCTAATTTTATGGTGATACACCAAGAATATTATTGCCAATTTTATAAATGTAAACATTTTATTAATGAACTAACAAATTTTGTTGGATTTGTCTTTAAAGGTATTAATTAATCTTCGCAACCCAAATTATGAAAATGGTGATTCTCTTAGTTTCAGGACTCACTTGGGTTTAATCCAAGTTCCTCTGAAAGTAAAAGACATACCTGAATTGGTAAGTATAGGCATTTAAAATAAATTAGCTTACTTAAGAAAAATAATCATTAGAAAAATATTTCAATGTAGTATGTATCTATAACAATATGATAACCCTCATAAATAAATGAGGTGAAAGTTTTTTATTGTAATTTTGTTATATAGAAAATGAGTTGCCTTTCTAGTAAATCAAAGAGGAACTTGCATTGGTCTATACAGGCTTCCGTATACTTCCCATTTTAATAAACATCTTAGATTTGTAAGCAGCTTGTTGGAATTCAGGTACCTAATGAACAACTGTAAAATTGAAACACAATGTAATTTCATAAAATATCAAAAATGTACATTTTCTTTAGTTCAGTCAACCTCTATTAAGTTCGTAACATGGTGACACCATGTGGGAAGTGTGGGAAAGTAAGGGTGAGCTGGAGATTGTCTTTGCTCTGGTGATAATCAGTTTTGGCCCAGGAAGTTACTTTTAAAGCAGAGTAATTATAGAAAGGTACAAAGTTTCCTGAGTGGGATTAAGAAATTATCACTCTTGGATAATTAAGGAATTATCACCACTTGAGGTGATGTTAAGTGGCATGAGAAAAGATAATTATCGAATGGTTTCACTCACTAGTGGAATACATATAACTATAGCTAAACTGGCAAAATTAACATTAAGATTCTGTGAAAATATGGTGGTGATCAGAGAAAGGGGTGGGAGAACAGGACAAGGGATAGAAGGGATCGTGTGATTGTGTAATGGCAGACGAGTGAGGTGTGTACACTGAAAATTATATTGTGGGGGGGTCTTTTCAGAATTGTTAAAGAATGTAGGAAGAGCAAATGATTAGAGAAAATTGATTTCATTATCAACTGCACAGAAAAAAAGCGTAAAAAAGAACACATAACATATTATGTGACTCAGCAGGCATTAATATCTAATCATAATTATACAGCTCTTAATATGGATTTAATCAAGAAATGGGATAAAATTATCTTAGACTGATGGAAGGAGAAGAGAGTGTACATGAGCTCAAATCCTCATTTCCCATAAAAAAATAGATATTTGGAGTCTGTGAATTAAAAATAGAAATGTACGCTTGTTATTTGAAATATAAATACTGGGGGAAAAGTGAAAGTTATTGTCCCTGCCATAGTGGGCTAATTATGACTGTGTATGTGTTATGTCTTTTAGCTGATTTGTCTTCTTAAACTATTTGCTGCTTGTGGAAATAGTGTATTATGATGATTCGGTGGTTAGATTCTGAAGCCAACCAAAAAATTTAAATTATTGCTCTCCCACGTTAATGGCTGTATGATCTTGGGCAAGTCTTCATGACCTGGAGTTGTAATTTTCTCACTTGTGAAGTTTGTTTAAAAATAACAACCCATTTAAGTATTGTATAGATCAAAAAGTGAAAAAATATAAATGGGTAGAACTATGTCCCTCTCAAAGATATGTTAAAGTCCTAATCTCCATTATTTAGAATGGAACACTATTTGAAAATAAGATCTTTGCAAGATGCTTTAAACTTACTGTTTTAGTGGAACAGGGTGAGCCCTTCATCCAGTATGTATGATGACTTTATAAGAAGACACAGAAGAAGTAAATGACAAGAAGAGGCAGAGGTTGGAGTGATACATCTGTAAGCTCATGAACACCAGCATTTGCCAGAAACAGTAGAAGCTAATAGAAAAGCCTGAGACACATGACTGTCCTAGAACCTTAGGGGGATTATGGTCCTTTTAACTTCTTGATTTGTGAATTCTAGCCTCCAGAGCTATGAGAATAAATATCTGTTGTCTAAAGTTAGTGGTACTTTTTGTTCTAGGCAGCCCTGGGTAAGCAATGTTTTAAAATCATATAGACAACACTTGGGACATGGTGAGCAGTATTATTACCAAATAGTCTTATTCCTTAGTTTTTTTTTTTTTTTTGCCAATTACTATACTAAGCTACTTTTCTAAAGTGTAAAAAGCCTTACTACTAGTAGTGATTATTACTACTATTATAAAATATTATGACTATAGAACAGGAAATGACAGATTCTTTTAGAAGTGGGAAGTCTTCTCCAAGGTACTGCCATTTGAACTACATTGAAGAAATTCACTAACACACAGGGAAAAGATAATGTATGAAAAGATTCAGCATGAGTGGGATGAATTATGTCTCTGTCTGCCTGAGAGAAAGTGGAACTGAAGTGGATTCATAACAATTGGGAAACCAGAATCCTGTATCTAATTTTCAAGAAATTATGACTGTATTCATCAAGAGTATGGTTAGTCTTTCTCTTCCTACCATCATCAGGATAACCTGCCCTTGCCTGTCTTAAATCATGTGGCCCACTCTAACGATTCTGACTCCGAGATGCCTGGTTTATCTGACCCAAGCAGATCAAACCATCCTGGCATGTTTGCCGGAGTAGTGAATTTGGTGAGGCTCAGTGAAACTTGTGATCCTACAATGGATGGTCCTTCCTTAAAATTAGCTCACGGTTTATGTATTGTAACAATTTAAGTATTATACATTGTATGTTTGTTACTATTAAGAGGGAGTTTCTTGAAATTAAAATGCATTAACTCTTAAGTGAATTTTACTAATTCAGTCATGTGAAGGCAGCAGGTTATAGCTGAATCTCAATGGGGTGGCCCAGCCCCCCAACCCCTGATATGAGAACTGAACACCGTGGCTGCTGGGGATGAAAATGTATATGAAAGACATTTGTGTCTTCCCAGAGCTTTAGGTCTTCCCAGAGCTTTAGGCTAGGGGGTAGATAGATAGTAAAAGTATCACTTCAAGATGATGTATTTATATGCTTTGATAGAGGTTGATAAAAGAACACGTGTGCATAGAGGTTATCAAGGAAGGTGTCCCAAAAGACAGGCTACCTGGATCAGTCTTAAAGAAAATCTGGGAAGGGGGGCTTAGGTCTACTGTTAGTGAATAAGAAAGATAGTCCAGAACAGTGAAACAGAAAGTTGGTGTTCAGAATTTGCTTTTCTTTAATTGTAATTAGCATGAGTTAAATTCTTCATAGCACTAAACAGAATCTAATATTGAATGGTTTATTGGACCTATGTTGTTTCCATAGTATTAAGATCAAACTTACTTAAAAAATTAAATATGTTACCATTGATTTTAATGATTTCACTGAGGGAAGATTGCTGAAAATAAATGGAAGATAGTGATTGAAAATGAAAGAATGACTGTTTTATCTCTTTAATCATTAAAAAATGGTAACATAAGATGCAGAGCTTTTTGAATGTATAGAAAAATCAAGTTTACTTAAAAATTAAAATATAATGGCAGTTATTTAAAATCAGTACAAAAATGAAATGCACATTTCTGTTAGACTGTCTTAAAGGGACATTAACAATCACTAACTTAAATAATGATAGATCATTAGGAAGGATTAAGATTAATTCCATTTTTTAAAGGAGAAGGAAGTTAGGTTTTAACAATTAGAATAGTAACAAAACACTGAGGAAAATATTAATAGAAATATTTAATTACTTAGGGAATAAAAGTAATATGAATAATGAGGTTGTTATATATTTTAAAAATAACAGACAAACATGATTACTTTTCCTAACATTACTAGAAAAGTAGAGGAAGTCTGGAGAATAAATCTAATTTATCTTATTTTAACAGAGCATTTGGTTGTCTAATTTTACTTAAAAATTAAGTTGCTTGGAATATTTGCACTGTTTAGTTGGTTAAGAGCTGAGTGATTACAGCACCATAGAAAGCACAGATATAGAATTATATTGGTAATTTTAGACAATGACTTTAGAAGATAAAATTGATAAGTGCTTCATAAACTGTATGTGTGCGTGTTTCAGGAAAGATTTAAATGCTCTTAGTACTCAAAAGGATAATCATCATTCCTTATTTTACTGATTAGTTCTTTGCCTAAATAGACTAAATCAAGGACTGTTTAAAGAAGCTTCATTTTTCCTTCTTATAATGTTTTATAATTTTTATGTAAATAAAATATATAATTCAAGGATGTCTTTATGTTGTCTACTTGTTTTTTTCCTAACAGAGTGGGGGGGGGGAAGAAGGTGTCCTTTATATTGCTTAGAAAGCATCAAAATATTTTAAACTATTTTTAGGTAGGAAAAATACAGAGAAAAAATGGCACCAATGGCTGTACATTTTAGAGAAATATTGTGTGTTTAAGTTTCTTTTCCTACTATATATATTTATTTTCATATGTTTTGGTTTGTTTTCCCATTACATATATTCTACACATTTTCCCTAGAATGTTGTATCTTTTCATGTTTATTTCACAGGAAATTAGTAATGGTTATGTGTGGATGGTAAAAAGATTCATGATTTTAAATTTGGACTGATGCATTAGTATTTAAAATGTAAATAATGTCCGTTTCTTTTTTAGATTTTTGTATGAAGTAAAGATTCACTAACAATTTTTATTTAGGTTGATGTTTAGGTGAAGGTGATATTTTTGTAATAATGTGTAGCAAACTGAGATGTCTGTTAATTCTGTGCTATTTTTCAGAAAGAGTTCTTCGCGGAACTGGGCTTAACAACAGGACAACTGGGTATAGATGACTCCACACAAGTGCCTCCTGGTTAGTATTTTTCCTAGACGGAATAGACTTAAAGATACATGAGAGTGAGTTTAGGATTTATCTGTCACTCCCAAATTAATAGAGTAGTTTTTTATTACGTGAGAACTATAGTTTTTGCCTCTGCTTGGTTACTATTAATTACTTAACAGAATCCTGTACATTGAATTATCAGAGTTCAACTAAGTTTTATCTTTTTATTTGAACGTCTTGAAAATAATTTTGAAAGGTAATTAAACATACCTAAGTCATTTTGTTGGCAAAATCTTTATAATTTTTAAAAATTGAATTAAGATTGCATTATAACATGAGTTTCAGCATGCATCATATCACTAAAATCCAACATGTCTGCATACTGCATTAAGTTCATCACCAAACGTTCCATTTTGTCTTTCACCATATATTTGACCCCATTTTCCTACTCACTCCCCTTCTCTTCTGCTAACAAGTGAATAAATGGTCTTATAGCCTAGAAGTTTATTTTTGTTTTACTTAGTTCATCCATTTGTTTGGTTACTCTGCTACCACATATGGATGTTATCATATTGTTTGTCTTTTTTTTCCCATCTGGCTTACCTCACCAAGTGTGACAGCCTTTACTTCCATTATCAGTTGAGTAGTAATTCATTGTGTATGCTTACCACGTCTCTACCCAGGCATATGTGAATGGGCACAAGGTTGTTTCTAGCCCTGGGCTATTGTAAAATGGTGTGCACTAGACATGAGGGTGCATGGATCGCTTCAAATAAGGTATTTGTGTGTTTTTGGTAAAATACCCTGAAATGGGACAGCTGGATCATAGGGTATTTTTGTCTTCAAGTTTTTGAAACTACTTTCCCTAAAGGCCACATCAATTTACATTCCCACCGACAGTGTGGAAGAGTTTCCATCTCGACATTCTCTCCAACACTTGTTTCTTGTTTTGGGGTAATAGCAAAAATACTTCATTGGCAGTGTTCATTTTCCCTTTACTGGTCATCACTGTCTAATTTTATCATTTTTCACATCACTACATTTAGCAAAATTCACATTCTATCTTGAATAAATTTAAGTTGTTTTAAATATTAATCCTCCCATCATTTTTCTCCTTTTGTGCATAATTACAACATGTTTTTCATAAAAGATTATATTAGCATTTAGCTAGAATAAAAAGAAATAAAAACTGACTTAAAATCTGAGAGGCCTATATTGTATTGAAATTAATTACTAGACAGGAGTCAAGAACTGTTCTACCCTTTTTCGGCCACTGGCTGACTGTGTGAATTGGATAAGTCACTTTATAGTTCTGGACTTGTTCTATTCTCTATGAAGTAGGCTTATGATTTGTGTTATATTTGTTATTGTTAATAGTAAACATAATAATAAGCTAAGCATATTCTATCTGCTACTATTTTTATTAAACTTTTAGTGACTCAAGTTATGTATTATCATGTTTGAAAGAAAAGTACATATGTGATTAGAAAATGGTTCAATGAACTTTGCGAATTCAACACACCTATAAAAATACCAAGCAGATCAATAATGAAAACCTGTCTTACCCTCTTTCAAGTTTTGTCTCCTGTGTCAAGACAACCACTATTCCAATTTTAACAGCAAATATATATATATTTATGGATTATATTTATATTATACACTATATTTATGAAATTCAATCACATTGTATAAATTTGTAGATTTATTGTTGTATTATAGGGTTCCAGTGTATTATAGAGCACACATTCATCCATTCTCCCATTGATGGGTATTTGGGAAGGTTCAAGTTTGGATCTATTACAAAGTAGGCTATTCTGAGCATTATAGTTTTTGGAACATGTGTACACTCTTCTGTTGAATATTCAGCTTCTGTTAAGTGCAATTTCTTGGTTGTCATGCTTGCCTAAGTTCAACATTAGTAGATAACTGCCAAAGAATTTTCAAAACTGTTATTACGAGTGTATATTATACAGTAGACTCCAGTAGTTACAAGTGGGGCTTTATTAATGAAGTTGTCATCAGTTGGGCTTTTTTTTGAAAAATCAAATGTAAAAATACAGAAACATTTTTGTGTTGTGAAAGAAACTATGATTTTGTTTAAGAAAGGAAAATTAGTTTATCAGTTTTTTTCTTCTGATTAAATATATTTCCTTTTAATTTATATAGACTTTAATCAACTTAGATTAAATATTTTCTGCATACAAAGATAAGTGTTTTTATAGTTTTCTGTAAAACCATTAAGCTTAAAAGATAATTAAAAGAATCAATTCCAGAAAATAACTCATAGTCACATTTATGTCTCATAATTTTAATTTGTTTTATCTCTTTTAGAACTTTTTGAAAATGAGCATGTACGCATTGGGCAAAAAGGTAAGTTTTTGATATACTTTTTAAAAATAAGATAGCCCTAAGTAAATGTCTCTATCTAACTGCCAACTGAAACTTAATGCTAGGAAAGCTAAAGACATAAAAGGAGCAATGTGTAGAAAATATAGTCACAATCTTTATAAGGGAGGAAATGCACCATATTTGGTTTATCAACACATGCCAGATAAAGAAGTTCACAGATAGTGCTCTAAAAAGCAGATAATAAGTGACAGACACATTCTCCAAGACTGTTAACTTAATCCATTCGGCAGTAGAATTTCATTTTAAAATCAGTCAGGTTCTCACTTTGATGCACCCACACACTTCTCATTAGTGTTAATGGGAATATGCCCCTGCATTGGGAGAAAATGTCACTGTCACACTCCTGATGACTGCTCACAATGGTGAGATTCAATAACCAAAGAAGCTCTTAGTTCTCGTTTAAGAATAATTATTTTTCTGTCTTTTGAAGTTTCTTTTCCTTGCTTTTAAAAAAGCTGTTCTGTCTTTGGAAATACAAAGTGCAAGTAAAATCTTGTGTCAGAATGAACCTTCTTGGGCAATTATATTGTCATGTCCCAACCCCCTTACTATAGTTTTTCAAAATCACATTTATTTAAAATATTTGATTTGTATGATTTGACTTTTTCATTAAACACAATTGTAAGTTAAAGTATATGTTTGATGTCTGTTACTTCACATGATCCCTTTGTTTTGTTTTGGTTTTTATGTTTTGACCTTGTCATTTTCATTTAGTATAAGAGTTTTCTCCCTTTAAATTTATAAGAAAACAACTGTTAGACAAATATCAGTTATTGTCTAGTATGTTTTTGTTTGTTTGTTTGTTTTGGGAACCTTTATTTCTAAACTTTGTAGCAAGTATTTTTGTTAAAATAAAAATGAAAGCAAAAAGATAATGCATTAATTTTGTGAGCTTAGCTGCTTGCAAATAACTTTTGGCTGTCTGAAAAGGTTATCAGACCTTTTTATATTTCTACTTCTTTTAAAAAAATCCCTTTTTTCCATTGAGTTTGGCAGATAATTAAGTCATCTAATAGTGTGCATATCTTACATTTTCTATAACCCTTAGCCATAACTGTAAATACATACTACTTCTAAATGTAGAACTTTCATGTGTAGTAGACTTTGCCTAAAAAATTTAGGGTCTGTGTAGATGACTTAACATGATAATGGAATCCAAATTTTTCATATATATGTACATTATTAGTTTTAGGTTCATGGGGCCATAGTTAAAGAAAAGTGATTTCAAGTCTACATTAAAAAATTGTACCAGATGTAGTAGGAGAGAACTTAAGACTTAAACTTCTAGGGCTGCACACGGGGATTACAACTGAGATGGAAAAGGGCACAAAATGATGTAAAAATAAACTATTATATTATTAAAAAAAATTGGTGATAAAAATGAATAGACTGTATTTAAATTAGGTGTGATGAATTTGAACTTTAATTCCCTTGTCATAGGAGTCATATCATCAAAAATGTCTCTATTATAGATATCATGGAGTATATCTCCAATGTAATTTTCTATGTATTTGATTGCTGTGGGTCTTATATTTAAGTGTCTTTTCTCTTTAGAACTTACTTTTGTATGGACGATGTTAACAAGTAATGCTATTTCATTCTTTCATATGTGACTTTCCACTTATTAAACAGAAATTCTTTTCCCCCCGAAAATAAAAAAACTTCTAGGGCTGCAAATAGTAACACATACAAATTCAGAGAGTGAAAGGTTACCAAGATAAGAATTATATTACATGTAAAGATGAAATGTTAGTTTCCTAAAAGGTTTTTAATTGAAGACTTCACTGCTCTTTCTTACATTATAAATCATCTAACGAGATTTTGATATATTCTTGCCAGTTCTAGCAGAACAAGACAGTGCTGCTGCGCAACAGTACATCAGACAGGGAAGTCCCACGGCGCTGCGGGCGGAGTTATGGGCTCTCATTTTGAATATCTCCAGTCAGCCAGAGGTAAGGAGAAGATAGCAGAGGCCAAACTTGAGTTACTGACATTAATTTTTTTCAAAGACTAGTTATTCAAAGTAAAGTACTCTTGTTTCTTAGTCTAACGCTTAGCCTCTTCTTAATTTTTAAAATCACTGTAATTTTGAGTTCGAAGATATGATTAATGTACAATTTTAGTACCATCTGCTTACTGTGAAAGTTTTTGTTATTAATAATTAGTTAGATAATGTGAATTTGTACATATGGCACAGCAATTTTAAGCAATGGGCTTTTCCACCTTACATCAGGGAAATGTGTGGTAGGCTTGGGATGTTAGGAAGAAATATAGTCTACTCAGGATACTTAAATGCATGCTTTGTTCCTACAGTACCTTTAGAAATATGCACTATCTTCATGGTTCTAAAAATTGACAGGTTATGTGGGTATGTTATTTTTCTAAGCATAAGAACATTTTATTTTAGGAAATATAATGAATGAAGAGAAATAACCAACAGACAGGTAATAGAAAAAATTTATGTTAAACTAATTCTTTTTGAGATATTTTTGAGATTTAATTATTTTTTGCTTAATCCCATTAATCATCTAAGTCACCCATTTAAAGATTTTAATAAACAGTAAAATAATGCTTCCCTATCCAATGACTAAAAATGTTGGGTTAAAAAAAAATGTTGGGTTTAGAGTCATACAGACCTCATTTCAACTCCTACTGTCCGAATTTACTTGAACTGTGTCTTTGAACAAATTACTTAAATTTCTTCAAACCTCAATTTACACATCTATAAATATAGATAATAATATTTGTATCACAGAGTTGTGAGAATTAAATGAAATAAATTTGTGACTCTTTTAACATAGTACTTGACATAAATTGTCACAATTAATGGTTGTAATAATAATTACATGTTACATACATTATATTATAAATTGCTTATGATTAGTAATGCATTTTTTTAAATCAAACTGTTTTATATTGTGGAATGGTATGTGTGAGGGGTTGGGGAGGGTTTAATGTTCCTCTGTGAATGGCAATGTCAAAAGTCGCTTGCTTCCTCTTTGAAAGTTGTTTGTGATTTATTTCAGACTAGTTTTAGTCCAGGAGATATTGCAGATATTGCTGATCTTTTATATTGACAGTCTGGAGGTAGCAGTTTCCAGATTTGAGTGTATGTTGGGCCTTTTTTATGAGTATATCCTGATATGTTTAGGTGATCTAGCAACTTTGCTGATCAGGAGCAAGGTAAATAAATCTTGCCTCTGTAGAAGAGCTACCTACTGCCATTTCAGAGTCAAATTTAACATTTTTCCAGAACTATCCTAGAATAGAAGTAGTACTCTTAAATAATAATTGTGTATTACAATGTTCAAAGCAGCTTTTTCACTTGAATTTTGTTAGTTAGTAGTCATCTTAATTTTCTAAATGCACAATGACATATTTGTAATAGAAATTAGTATTTTCAGAAAATTAATCTTTATTGAATAAAGCATTTTCCACTACTTACATTGACCTTGACACTTGACAGTACCAGTTCCAAAATAACTGTTAAGTGGTAGGTTACAGAGAGAGAGAAAGAAGTTAATCAATTTAGCAAACAGTGAATTCCCACTAGGAGCCAGGCCTATCGTTAATGACTATTATTTTCTAACATTTGAAATAATTTTGCAAATGTGATTGATCCTGAATTCTTTTGCTCATTTTAAATTTAGGACATCTTATATTATGAGCAGCTTAAGACTAATGTGATACAGCATGACCTTTTGGTGGACAGTCTAATTTACAAAGTAAGTAAAAGTTTTTCCATCTTATTAATATAATTAAAGAATAATGCAGGTATTCAACATGAGGCTCTGAATCAGTATGATGATGCATATTTGCTTTGAAAAATAATTTTAAGTGATCTTCATACTTGTAAAGTTAAAATTGACCTTAAAATTTATAATCCCCATCCAGTATTACCATTTTTCTTGTTAAAGCTCTCCTAATGACCTTTCCCTGGCCTGTCCATTTTTTAATTAAGAAAATGGGTATTTCTTTTCCTTACGGTTCAAGTAAATTAAATAAATTAGAAACTGAAGGAGAAATGAGACAGTAGTATTTTCATCTTTCTTTTCTCCTAATCTATGTCTTGAAATTTTTCTAGACCTAGGACACATTTACTACCCCAGAGTTGTCCTTGACTCATTTCATTCTCCTCATATTGCTGCTTTGCTTAACAGTCCGGCTGAATTTTTTAGATTGAGCAATACTGTCATGGATTTCTGCAATATTGTTTGTAATATTTCCCACATTTCCACTAGGTATGTTTTCTGACTGGTGAGATTGTAGACTTCTTAAAGATAAACACTGTCTTTTTTGGTTTTTGTTGGGTATAAATGATGACTTGAATGTAGATAATCAGAAAGGCATAGATTGTTGGTACTTTGAGGGAATGGCAAATCTGTGGACTTGAACATTTCAGGCCAGATTATTAGAGTGTTTTTGTATATTTGATTGTATCTGTTTTTCCAACTTTTGGATGCTTATTATTAGTAAGAAGGTGATAACAATGAAATAAGTAATAGGAATTATTAATAGAACCAAAAAATGTGTGACGAATTTAAGGTCAAATAGTGTGTCACATATATTAGTCAAATAAATAGGTGATAATGATAAAATTGAATTGGAAGTTTATAAACATTCACAAAGTTATAAAATCATCACAGTATTGTTTCTAGAAATTGCTTTTATGTCTTAGTACCATAGACACATTCTGGTTCTTTTCAGTACTCTCCACTTTTAATTCTAGGATGTGAAGTTGACAGCAAGTAATGATGATTATTATTTTGTATTTGAAGATTATTTATATCAGGTAAGTTGCAAAATTAAAATCTATAATGTTCTTATTTTAAGTTCTGTAACTCATGATATATCTGTCATTAACTAAACCCTCCTGAAACCCAAGACATGTTTATTTTCTATTAAATTAAATGTCCTAGGCTTGTGATAGGTTAATTTTTGTTCTTACTATGGGACTAGAGTGGAGAAAAAGAATTTCCAAATAAATTTTTGGATTGCTTCTCTTGGTAATGTTTGCTATAACCAAGAGGGATAAATGGGGACAGATTGTTAAATTTGATGTCAAATCCATATTTAAGTCATCACAAGATGATAGAGAATAATTTTACATACATTTATATTAAAGATATTGAGTAAATACATGTTTTGAACTAAGTTTGAAGTGTTATAATTACTTTTTGATCATTTCATAAGCTGAGACCGCAGGTGTTTGGATTCTTCTCTAGGTCTTTCTCATATCTACTAAAATGAAAACAGTTTATCATAAAGAAAAAAAATGTAATTTACACAGAATTGCTTAGATGGTGCTCTCTTTTTTTTCTTCAGATCACATATATATTAATTCAATTTAAATTAGCCTATCAGCACTATTTTTATCATTTATTTATGGAGTGTTTATTGGGTGCCAGGCTCTGCTCTAGATAGTTCATGTGGTTTATAACTAGCTCTTACAACATCCTTGTAAGGTGGCTTCATTCCCTTTTTACAGATAAAAAAGAGAATCATAGCCCAACCTCACACAGCTACCAGGACCCTGGCCAGATTTGTTCAATTTCAATGTTCCTTAAGCCACATTACCCTTTAATTTGCAAAAACTTATATCAGGGCAGAGTATTTCAAAAGTCATTCTTGAAATTTTGCCATTTAAAATTCTCCAGATTGGCTTGGATAAAAGAACAAAAGTAGCATAAATGAATTTATATACATTATCTTTGTGTGCTAGACATTATAGAAGTGATTCTCAGAAACATTACCATAAATATTTTCAAGAGATTACAGAATATTACAGGCCAGGCAAGTCTTTTATAGTTATATGTACACATTTTAGTTAAAATTCTGCTACGTAAATTGCAGTTCAGACTTACACATCCAGTTTCTTATACAGCTTCAAAGTAAAGCATTATCATGTATATCCTCCTCTTCATAAATTTCAATTTTTACTTAATTATTAATCAAAGTTACATCTTCTAGTTAACTTGGCTAAAATTGTCATCTTTACATAATCACATTTTCTAGCAAATTTACAATTGTACTGTCACTTCCTTACAGGTACAAAATTGGAATCTCAAAAGTTAAAACAACTCAAATTACAGTAAGAGTTGGCAGCTCTCTGCTGGTGTCCCGGGTCACGCACAGTACATAATGTCTACCGTACTACCTCTGGCATTATCGCCTTACAGCTGTTAATGTTCTCGCTGGAGCAGTCTCAGATATCTTGTCTTCTCTCGGGCAACAGAATTCTAGGGGGATATATTTAAGCACAGAGCTTCTGCTAACACGTCTATGTCCCTGCCACCTGCTAAGGGAACGTTAAAGCAAACATTTCTTTAGGAGTTATTTTCCCTATAGGTAATGGCAGAAAGACATTTGTCAGTCTGTTTTCCTTTAATTGTGTTAGTGGCTGTATTAGTTTACTGTTATATTAGTTGTATTAATTATGCTCATTTGTTTTTGCTACTTACTATTAGAAAATAGCATAAAGTTAGTGGCCTAAAGCTAAACAAATATATTCTTTTACAATTCTGAAGCTCAGAAGTCTGTGAAATGGGTTTCACTGGGCTAAATTTCTGTTGTTGTCAGGACTGGGGTCCTTCTGGAAATGCAGGAGGAAGAGACATCCCCTGCCACTGACAGCTTATATACCTCCGTTCCCTATCTGTGGCCTGTTCTCCTTTCAAAGCCAGTAGATAACGTCTTCAGGTCTCTCTGACTCTGATCCTGCTGCAGCTCTTTCCTTTATAAGTGTCCTTGTGATTCCTTTGGGTCTGCTGACATAAAACCAGGTATCTCATGTAAGGGCCTTCAGTGTAGTCACATCTTCTGAATCTCTTTTTTTTCATGAGCGGTAGCACGTCCGTTGGCCCTAGGAATCAGGCGAAGGGTATCTCATAGGGATACCCTTTATGTCTGTGGCAGAAAAAGGGCTATGCAAGTGAGCTCAGTCCCTTGTGTTCCCCGGTTCTTTATTTTCAATTATATATTTCAAATGATGATTGTTCCCTCCTTCCATGATGGTACAAGAAGGTATAATAGAGATTAAATTTTTTACTGATTTGATAACATTTTATAGGGTTTAGAATTTTTTTTAGAACAGAATGATTTTACTAGGCTTTGACAAATATTCATCATGTCTATAGGTCTAAAAATAAAAATGACCGAACTGTGATCATGTCATAGTTTATACCAATATCAAATCATTTTGTTGTACACCTAAAAACTAATATGTCAATTGTATCTCATCTCTAAAATTATGTGATTATTTTAGTATATGACCAACACACATTTGAGACTACATTTAATAAAATCTGTGAAAAGTGCAACATAAAATTTACAATCTATTTTTCATTGTAAAGTTCAGTAGCACCAAGTCTATTAACACTGATAGAGAACCTAACATGCTTTTCGTGCATTTACTCTTCATTCAGTAAAATGAAATATTTTATGGACATTTAGATAATATTTACAAAACTAGAACTTGCCATCTCATTGTAAGTTAATGTTACCAAATACTGAAATACTGGTACTATCCCCACTACAATAAGAAAAGAATATTTTTGGAATGTCTAGCCAATCAGAAACCTAAGAAAAATAAGTTGAAGTTATAGATATTAGAAAGTGTACAAAATTATTATCAAGTTTGGATATAAAAGAAGTTCATGGGAATTTACTAAAAACCATTAGAAGTGATAAGGTTGTTCCACTAAGTACCTGATTACCAAGTAAAATATTAAAATTTTAAATCACTTTAAATATGAGAGATCATCATTTGCAATATATAATTGAAAATAAAACCCGGGGAACACAAGGGACTGAGCTCACTTGCATAGCCCTTTTTCCACCACAGACATAAAGAAAAGCTGCGTAGAAGATAACAAAGAATGTGAATATATTGCCAGTAGTCATCATATTTTCAGTTGACTACACAGTAGAATTTGCTACACAATTCTGTTTCTGTGTATTTGGCCTAGAAAGATAATCATATATGGATAAAGTGACACAGTAAAAGACTTTTGACCTTGTCAGGAATAGCATGAAGTTGAAAAATTTAAATGCTCACTTATAGGAGACTAGCCCGTTGAATGATTGTGCATATATTCACAACAAAAAACTATGTAACCCTTAAAAATGAATCAGATCTGTGGGAAGCAGCAGCATACTCATATGCAACGATATGAAACAGCTCTCAAATATGTTGTTAAGCTAAAACATAAATATGTCATAGGACATTGTGTGTGTTGTCCTGCATTGGGGCTGAGACAGCAGTCAGCAGGGTCGCCAGCAACTCCGCCCAGCTCACCCTCCTTCTTCCTCCTCTTGCTCTCTCAGTAACATGTGGCCCAGTCATGCCCTTTCCTCACTTGACTTCCAAGACACTGGTTCCTTTTTTCTTGTCTCATACTTGATGGCTCACCAGAAGTAAATCCAGCATTGGGGGAGCTAAAGTTTAGGGAAGTTCTTTGAGAAACTATAATATTGCAAATACAAAATTAGATGGGAAATCATAGTAAAATACTAGGACCATGGAGATTTTTTATTTAAGTTACTAAAAATGCATATACAGACTATTACAACCTGACTTCCCCTCTTGACTTGAGGATACTACATCTCAAACCAAATGCCAGTGCTAAAACCCTTCATCACATCATGGAAAATCCACCTCTTCTGGTTGCTCCTCGGTCTCTGAGACTATTTCCTTGTCTTCTACCTACTATCTTCATATTAGAGTATCCCAGTTCTCAGCTATTCGTCTTCTTTTCTTTACTCACACTCACTCACTTGGTGATTTCACCAAGTGCCCCTAACTTGTGACTTTCATTACAACCTTATGCTGGTCTTTCCCAAATTCACATCTTTAGTCTAAACTCTCTTCTATTCTTCAGACTAATTTGGCTGGTATCTCAAGCTTCCTATTCACTGTCACCGTGTATATATTTTGCAGCTGTCTCAAAGTTAGCCTATTGAATACTGAACCCCTAATTCTGAAAGTTGTTCCAGTCAACTTTCCCTCTCGTCTTCCCACTTACTCACACACTTGGCATCATCCTTGATGCCTGTTTTCCTCTCTCATTCCCTCCAGTTTATTAGTAAACACGATTGGCCTTGTCTTTACATTATATTTAGAATTTAACCACTTTCCCCCACATCCATTGTGTTACAAATAGGTTTCCAGAGAAACTGACTCACTGGAGAGTTAGCATGCCAGAGGTTTATTAGGAAATGTCCTGAGAGTCAACAACTGTAGACAGGCAGTGCCTGAAACAGGAGTGAGAAGAGGGAGGTTTACGTCAGTATAATTTAAATGGAAACCTCAACCAGTGCTGCCGAGTTGTGAAGATGGAATAAACGCTCAGTCCTGTGTGGGAGACACACACTAGAGATTCAACCCTTTTCCCCCACATCAGTCACTGCTGGATGTGGACTATTCCAGGAAGGGCGGTGACCAGCAGAACCCACGCTGCAGGCTGCTAGCAGCTGGCTAAGTCCTTCCCTGAAGAGGCATCTGGTTGGTGTACCCAGTGCAGGAGACACTGCTGCCCTCTGAGTCTAAGCCACTCTCAACAGTCTCCTAAAAGATCTCTCTACCTCTGTCCTGTTCCAACCATACTTTGTTAAATGTAATATAAATACCTCTAGCTGTCAGGAACTTCACTGTTTCCTTATGGTTTATAATTGGGGAGAAGTGGAAGTAAATTAATTCAGAATAATAAGAGTGGTTAAATAAGCTATTGTTCACCCATCTAGTAGAGTATCTGCAAAATTAAAAAGCATAGGTAGGAAATATATATTAGTAGGATAGTATTCATAATCCTATTTGTTTGAAATGTTCACATATATGTGTAAGAACAGTTCTGAAGTGTATCATCAAAGTGTTAACGCTGGTGGTTTTATGGGTGTTTTTTCTCCTTTTTTGATGTTGGATTTTTCACTTTTATTCTACACATACATTATATAGTCTTTTTAAATATAATAATCAGTGACAATGGTACACATTTCATTGTTGGCTGTAATGTCCAATCTCCATATATATCCTTTTTGTAAAGCTGGGCCCCTTTGTTTAGGCATTCAGCAGCTTGCAGTGTCCGCTGTTACTCAGGGGTAGGGGACTAACTGAAAAATCTTGGTGAACTTGGCCATCACATTGCCATCTGCGGTAACACTTCCCGCAGGATACCAGTAGAGGGCACTCCTCTCACGGCGAAGCACCGTGCTGAACTTGTCAACTCCCTCCTCTAACCGTCCGAGCAAGAAATTGCAACGACTTTTATAAACGGTGCCTAACTGTCTGTTTTTTCCAATGTTATACCCAGGTATTACTTTGTTTTTCCCGGGACACATCTGTGTTGGGTCACTTTGCGTACAACAGTGCTTCACCACCGAAATCATACATACGAGGTAAAGTTCTAGTAACACGAAGGCAGTACTCTCTAATACATAATAATACTAACATTTTGTTTTATAGGACGTGTCGGTGTTGTTGAATTTCTGGTTGTAAAGTAATGTAACAAGGTTTCTCTCAGATGACAGGGACTGTCTTTTCACTTCCGTTAGTCTGTGCTCACCACTGTCCACACACCACAGGACCATGGCTCCCTGAAGCAGCCTGTACATACGGAGTCACTGTGTTCCCTGTCTGTTCTCCTCTGCTGCTGTTTTGTCTTCTCTGTTGACTTTGATTTTTCCTTCTAATTAAGTTAATCGTTTTCTTTTTTCTACTTTTTTTACCTTTTCTCTTCCTTCTCTCAAAAGGTTCTGCCACACTGAAAATCTTGATATAATCTACATGCTACCGGTTCTCTAACTCCTTTCTTCTCTCTTTCACTGGCTTCCTATAAGATGTGACTTTCAACATGTTGCCATCCACTGGACAGGCGAGCTAGTTTCAGCGGAAGCCTTTCCTGACTTCTCCTTATCATTAGGTGGGGAACACCCAGCCCCGCTGGTGTTTGCTGTTCCCATGAAAAGACTGTTTCTCCTAAGTCCAACTGTCTGCTAACTGCTCCAATCCCTCTCCTCAGACAGATCCTCGTTACCTCGTGCTGCAGTCAGGCTGCCCCTGATTTCCCTCAGCTTAGGCTCTCTTTCGGTTCCATTGCTTCTAGATCAAACTTAGAACAATCTCCTATTTGTTGCTTTCCATAACTTAGTTACCTAAGAGGCTTACTTTTAGACGCATAGAAAAATGTAAGGCCCTGCAACCGTTGGTCCTGTCTTAATTTTGCTGACTTTGACTCCCTGATTATTCCACTTCACCCACGTTCATTCCAGTGTCCATACACTTCCCACATGTGGAAGGATTCCCACTCTTCCATCCCAAAGTCCTATGTTTTTGCACAAGTGGCCAATATCTAACAAGTCCACCAAAATTTTGCCTCAACTCTCTCTATGACACTCAAAGTCTATGCCAGAAAAGTTAGCAAACATATCCCAATATTTCCTGTTTCAGTCAGGGTTATAAACCACATGGTTAAAGGACCTTATTTTAGAGGTTCCGTAAACCTTTAGCCCCATAATCCACTGTGGAGACCAACCAGCACTTCCTACTGGCCAGCCATGTCCCTGCCACTCTGTCTAACCTATCATTTTCACTTTTCTATCTCCTCCACACCAGATCAGTCCTTGTTATCTCCGCCCTGACCTAAGCTATTCACACTTCTTAGTCTTCATCTTCTCTTGTCCACTACTCATAAAGAAACAACAAAACTTTAATTAAAAACCTTATAAAGTTCAGGGCTAGAATGCCATTTGATTTTTCAGTGGATTCAAAGGCTTTAGGGAAACTGTCAAGAGAAAAGCTAACTAGAGATATTCAATATAAAGTTCAGAAAAACTCAATCTTTATTGTAAGGAAAAATTGTTTTGAATAAAATCTTGATACATTTGATTATGATAAATTTTCCAAGTTAATTCTGGACATAAATGTTTAGCCTCAGTCTTGACTCAAGTGTGTGTTTTGAGATTCAGAATATGTGCCACTGTATAGTACAAGATTAAGTTTTAATTTCTCAGCACATTCCACAAGCATGCAGACTAATGAAATATTGCAAAGTTTAGGACTTTCTTTACTGAGTGCATTAGAACTGATATAATTAACAGAACAATTTCATGCTTATAAATAAGTGCTTCTCTTCTCAAATGCTTAAAGACTTTGAAGCACTAGTTCTTTTCACTATTTTGTATCACTTGTACCTATGTATTTATTGTCAACTTTAACTCCTGAAGGGGTTTGTTAACATCAGGTAGTCTTTTGACTACCTGGCATATTTTCAAATTAATTCCTGTCATGAAACAAAATGCAATAGGACTGCAGTACAGTCATTTTAATAACTATATTAATTTGCGGTACATTCACAAAACTAGTTATTTTTTTTTAACTTTTATTTATTCATACTGAAGCCCTCTGGTTTTCTCTTTTAGGCAAACTAGGACTAGAAGAATATGCTGTCTTTTATCCACCAAATGGTAAGAGAAATGCTATTGCTTCCTCTAGTGGGAAATTGGGAGATTACAACTTTTGTAACAGAACCTGACCTTTTTCTTTGGAAGTGGATAATAATACTCTAAAGTAAGCCTTCTGTAGAGTACCTATTTTAATTAACATTTCCGTGTTTGGGCAAAGGGTTGCATACCCTGTCTGGATTTCCTTAAGATCAATGGTGACATTTGTGAGAAAACTAAAACTTAGGTGTCTAAGTCCCGGGCTCGCAGTTTTCCCCAGAGGACGCTGATAGCCCACGCCGGGCCTTCCTGTTAGCTGTCTTGCTCTCTTGAATGCATTGCCTTGTGTTGCTCTTTATTGTCCTCATTCATAATTTGATTAGCTTAGAACTTACAAAATAAAAAGATTGTGAAAAACGTGTCACTGAAATAATCTATTTTCATGATATAAAATGACCAAATGGATAGTGAACTTGTTTGATATTAAAGTTCCTCTGCGGTTATTCGGCAGTTTTTAAGAAATGTGTTTTGGAAGAAGAATAATAGTGTTACAAGGCACCCCAATGTGAATTGGGTTGCCCATCTGTGGGTCTTCACCTGCGTGCTTACGATTCAGTCGTACTATGGACACACTCAAAAAGGTTCAATAATGGATTTATTTATAAGGAGAAAGGTAAAGGAATAACCCAGGGAAAGCGGGAGAGAAATACAAGTGAACTAGAATGTCCTACCAGTTCTGCTGATTTGGACTTCACCAGCACACTGAAAACCATCCAGAGCCAAAACGATCAGCCGTGAACCACCAGGCCAAGAGACCCCCAGAGCCCACATGTCTGGTTTTATCCCAACCTGGCTGCTCAGCTCCGCCCTCACATCCCAGCGTGCTTCTCCTTGTTACTGATGGGATTTGGTGTTCCAGTATCTGGAGTGGGGGCGAGTCCATGAAACCTGTACCTGTTACAATAGCAGTCCTTATTATAACAATATTAAGTTGTATGCTAAAGAAGTTCTTTTACTCCAGTAGTTACTTAACCTCAGAAACAATATTCCTAATCACTCTGCCCTTGAAAGAAGTTGCTGAGTTCATCATGGTGTCTCTTAGGAAAAAAAAAAGAAAGAAAATGACTAATATATTGAAAAATAGAAGATTACATAGATTTTAGAAAGATTTTCATCCAGGATAAAAATAATTTAGAGCTTAATGGGGTCAGCGTAGCTATTCAAAAATTTAATCCTTCAGAATTTTTTCTCCTCTAGGTTTTTTTTTTTAAAGATTTATTTATTTATTTGTACAGAACTGGGGTACAGGCCAGAGATGCAGGGGCAGTGAGAGGCTCCACCAGAGACAGAGTGGGGAGCAGAACAGGCAGATCAACAAGGTACACTGCTGAGGGGAGCAGCCGGGTCAGGGGAGGTCTGCTGGCCATGTGGAACTCCTCCGGGGCAGGCGGGGATCATGAGGAAGTGGCTTTAGCTTCTTTGTGCTGTGCTTTAACCCACCGTGCCACCAGGGAGGGCCCCCTCTAAGGTTGTTTTAAAACCTTACCAGAGAGAGTTTTCTTCTGTGGGCAGTGAATCTGAATTTGGGGAACAACAAGCTACAAAGTCTTTCTGCCCTTCCTTTATCATGTACTCGGACAATGCCCGCCCTCCTTCCCTCCCTCTGCCAAAGGCAAGAAGATCACGTTGACCTCTCAAGGACACCTCTCCCACCACCAACCACTATCAGGGCCAGGCTTTCTTAGCATCAGAATTAGACTCAGAGGTTTGCCTACAGTCCACTGACTTGCTCTTGGAAGCTGGCAAGAAGGGTGTTTACAGGGTGGCAAAGGTTTTCTCAGTGTGATTGGTACAGGGTGAGGTTGGAGAGGCCAGGTCAGGCAGGGAGATTGTCTGGTAAGCCCAATGTAGGGGCTTCCTTAGGAACGGTTTCTATAATATCCTGTTTTCCTGTGAACGGCCACCCTTAATTCTTCGCATGCCTTGTAAATTGTTTTGATCAATAACTTGATATCTTGAATAGTTTAATGTGGTGACTCTCCTTTCTCCAGAAGTTGTTTTGTGATTGTTAGTGACTTTTCTAAACTATTTTTATCAAGATTGTATTCTACATATTCAGTATCCACTGAAGGTGAGCTACAGAGATTTCCTTAAACATCTATAAAACATC